ACTTGTACAAACTACCGTCACCCTTGGAACATTTTCGACCCAAATTTTCCTTTTCTTCATCTTTTTCTTAGTTGCCAAACAGAGAACAATTCCCCTCAAACAAATAAGACATTTAGGGTGCGTTTGGTTCACGGAATGTAAGATTATCAGTGAGAATAAAAGATTATCAAGGAATAGAATTACTGAGAATGTTGTATTTTGTGTTTGCTTGGTTTAGCAGGAATATAAGATTGCCGTGTTTGGTTAAAAGAATAAAAGATTATTTAATGTATATTTAATCAAATTGTCCTTATTATATATTTGTATAATATTACAAATTGTAAAATATTTATATATTTTCTTTAAAAAATTAAATTCATAATATTTATATAATTTTTTTTACAAAATTAAAAATATAAAAAAAGTTTAATGAAAGGGTAAAAAAATTTAACCCCTGAACTTCATATAAAATTTTAATTATAGATTTTTTTGTAGATCTAAAATAATTTAAGGATAAATTTGTAATTTAACCTTCGTAGAATTTTTATTATTCAATGACAGAAGAAGAATATTTTTGAAAAAAAATAAAAATTTAAGGGCATTTTAGTCCAAAATGCCGGTAATGTTACAATACCTAAGGGAAGGGAGGTAATGACATTCCCGGTAATATACCCTAAAAAATTTACTATTAATAATAAAGTATTACCGAAAATGAGATTCCCGACCAACTAAACATCTTCTTACTTTCTACTATTAAACGACGTGGAATCTTTCGCTAACTTGGTGTTCTCAAATCTCAAGTACATAATTGCAATTTTTCAGAATATTCGTCATTTCTGATAATAATAATAAAATGTTAAATTATTTTCCATCTATTATTTAATTAACCTTTATAAAGTTAACTATTATACGACCATAATTCATTTTTTTTTCTAACAATTATTTGAGGTTGTAAGTTATTATATCCCCATATTAATGGCATTATATTGGATAAAAAATAACTTTTCAATTTTTTTTATCAATTTTAATTAAGGATAATAGATATACTGATTTTACATAATTTATTATTATTTGGTGTATTTAGGAGATATTGTTTTAGCTTTACAAGCGGATCAAAGAATCATAATATGTCTTGTTTATTAAATACTAATCTGGTAATTTACAATTTTCATCACTTAAAATTTTCTTTTGTTATTATTTTGGTCACTAAAATTAAAAAAATATTTATTAAACTTTTGAATTACTCTTATTTTGATCCCTCCATCATTAAATACATAACAATATTGTAACTAAACATTTTTCTTTTAACAATGAGTTCATTACATTACATCATATGTCCTCAAACTATGATCCTCATTTCAAATAGGTCATTAAACTTTTAAATATTTTAATTTCATGCTCAAGCTATGACTCTTATTCTAAATTGGTCCTTAAACTTTTGAACATTCTAATTTCATCTTCAAACTATGAATCTCATTCTAAATTGGTCCCAAAACTTTTTGATCTTTAAGGATGAAATTAGAACGTTTAAAAGGTTAGGGATCCATTTGAAATGAAGGTCATAGATTGGGAGCGTATGATGTAATTAGCTCTTTAAAAATTATGAAATAACCTTAATTTTGATTTATTTTTATGGAAAAACTCTTGGTTTTGAATTATTATTGATTTTTATTGATAAAATGTATTCTTCTAAATCCCAACGATAGGGAGGAGGAGAAGAGGAAATGAACTATATATTTTGGTTTTGAATATTATATATTAGAATGGTTTAGAGTTTTATAAGTTTTGAGTTTAAGGCTGATTTTTATGGGTCTTAAAGTGATTTAGGTAAAATTTAAAAGGATAAAGTGGTACGAGACGATGTGATGAGTTCATCGATATATTGAGTAGTCGAAGAAGCTGTCAAAAAATGCTAATTGCAACATCAATATGACACAAGGATAAAACTGTAAAACTTTAATCTTTGAATGAAGAATGTAAAATCAAAAATTAATAAATAAATAAATATCAAAATATCGTGGATGATACATGAATTACATGAATGACCATCCAACTCAGTTGGTAGAGCACAAGGTTCTTAACCTTGAGGTTGTAGGATCGAGTCTCATGGAAGGCATTTCATAATTTAGAGGTCTCCTACGGAAGCTGCTTTCAACCTAGTGTTGGGAGCAGCCTACTATCTTACCTCCCCCTACCCCATTACATATGGGAACAAGGAACAACCATTTATACATGAATTTACATGTCAATAAAAAATTGTCTACAACAGTACATGTGATTATCATGTCGAACTTTAATTTATAATTTAACACATGAGTGATCAATATGTAAATCAAAACTTAGACGAGTAAAATCAAAAGAAATTAAACAAATAAAAAGTTGTTATGGGCACCAATGTACATCGTAGGTCCCCAAAAACTAGACTCAAACACTTTGATTTCAAAATATTATTATTTGATTTGAGAAATATAAAAAAAACGTAACACATCAACTTTAAAATGATCAAGAGGTGAAACATTAAGTATTTATTTTAATAAAAAAAACTTTAAACCCCTAAAATAAAAATGATCTATAGTACAAGTATTTATTTTACAATAAAAACCTTCTAGAACATAAAAATTAAATCACTTATCTCACTTTTTGTGTGTGGATAATTCAATTTTATTACCCAACAAATCAAGAACTGCTACAAAAAATAACCGATCACAAAAATCATATGTACACCATACTTACAAGACAAAAGATCGGTTAATCAATACCCCAAGAATTACATAGGAAAGTATTGATACTATCAGACATTTTAATATTTACCCCCCAGTTTGATAGAAACAAAATCATTGAAGCAAGCAAAAAGGTCTTCAGCAGTCCTTGTACATCATCGAAAAATTCTTCTATTACGTTCCTCCCATAGTACATAGATTTTGGCACACCAAGCAATCTTTAAAATAGTTGAGATAAGAGATTTACCTTTCCAGGTATTGCTTGCCCATGTGATCATGTCTTCCCAGGTTGAGATTGGTTTCTTTAACCCATTATGAAGCAATATTGAATCCCATAAATGAGCAACCATTGGACATTCAAAGAATAGGTGAGATCGAGTTTCCATCATTCCGTTGCAAAGCACACAATTCCCCAAGGTGGTAATCCCCATTCGCAAAAGTCGATCCCGGGTAAGAAGTCGATCAAGAATAGCCATCCATGCTATAATATTGTGTTTCTGAATATGATAAGGGTACCAAATCAAAGATTGCCATTTTACTTTGTCTCCATTCATTCTAATTTCCAGCCAAATATGTTTGATGGTGGGAGTGCGATTAAACAAATTAAGTCCTAACCTCACTATCTTTTCGATTTAATTATTTTTAGTTTATATAAATTTTTAAAACTAAACAAATTAAACCTTAATCTCCCCTGACTTGTTTTGAAGTTAAGCACTATGATACCACAGTTCCATCCTAAAATTGTCACTGCATTCAAAACACAAACCCTAAAATTAATTGACGGACCCTCCCACTCATTTGAAGATGTTGGCACCAAGTTAATTTGCTAACAATGGAATGTTAATTGTTTTTACCAATAGATTGGTTCGGAGTGGAATAAATTCTGTTAATCTTGCTTTACGTTATGTTTGGGATAAAGGTGTGGTTAGGCCACGAGAACACAGATAAAAACTTTTGAAAATGTGCTCAATTAATTAATTAATATATTAAGAACGAGAGATTCGTGTTAAGCTGTTTTACAATACGAAATATTTGAGCCAAATGCATTTGATTAATCTCACTTTTTATATCAACATATTAATTAATTAGATAAAAACAAAGGATTAAAACTATATAAAAAGGATGCAGATAAAGGGTTGTTCTTTTCCCTATGACCCGGTTCCGTACATTGGCTTCGGCTGTTGATCTGCCTTTTCCCCATCGTCCGTCGTCGGTCATTTTGACCATTAAATCTCTTTACCAACAAAATTTAATCTTTGATTTAATAAAAAATAAATTACGACATCCTAGTATCCTACTTTGTCGGGGGGAAATCAACAGCTTTTTGTTTTAATTTCAATGGCGAACTTTATCGTACTTACCAATTTATAGAGCGTAATCATATAATTCATAGCATTCGCCACTGGACCACATTAGGTATTCGTATTTTTATCCATATGTTTTACTTGTAATGAGTTTTGGGTTTTACACCATTGTTTTTTATTTTTATTTTTATTTTATTGTGCTATTTCTTCAAGGTGAGCACGGACCAGGGATAATTATGTTCCTAATCTTCACTTTCTGTCGCTGTTTAAGTTTTACAGACAAGCCTCTTTCTTTGGTTCTGGTTCTTTTGATTACATTAATTAAACAGAGGTGGTAGTAATTAGTCATGGGGAATCGATATTAGGATCCGATTCAGGTTGTGTGGTTATGAATTCAACACATCTCTCTCTCTCTCGTAGTTAAAAGTTTCATAATTAATAAAAATTTAATTTCGTTAATATTACTTATTATTTTTATAATATAAATAAGTGTAAAATTGAATCTGTTTACACATGAAATTTTCTCTAATTCATATTCTCTAAATATTTCTACTATATATATATATAAAAGTAGACTAGGTTTGCTTTTACATTGATTAACTTTGCGAAATTCCTAATAAATATATTATTATTATTAGTTAATAAACATTCTCCACACATAGCCAATAATATGTTTTCCCCCCAATAAAGTGCATTATAATTTACCCTCCCTTTACCATTCAATCTTCCCACCGTTGTTTGCCACCACCATTGCTTCTTTTGATTTGCTCTAGGAGTCTTAAATGATAATTCGAGTGATTAATTTATAATATTTTAAACTCAAGTGGCTACAAAAAGAATATCCTATAATCAAAAGATTATCTGCATAATTTACCCTCGTTTTCAAAATTGTAGGTGGTGTAAACAATTAAATAAACATTCAGAACGAGAAAAAAAAAAGGAAAATCCTTTAGCTCAGCTCAGCCTTTAGCTTGAGAGTTGAGCCTCACAGCATCTGTACTTTTTGTTTTCTTTCGATTTTTTTGGTTTAAAAATACACACTGTCCAACACCACTATCAGTTCCTCTCTAATTGCAGCAACTCCAATCGTCCAGTTCATGTATTTTCGAAAATTAAAACAAATTAGCTACATAATCATTATTCTTCCCCAAAATCCCAGAAATTCATGTTATTTATTCTTCGTTATACAAATACCTGTTCACTTCTCTTGTCCCGTTAATCATCAATCTTCCCAACCTTTTGTTTTTTCTCCTCAGTTCATCTTCTTTTCGGCTTTGAAAGTTGAAAGACTCTCACTTTTCGATGGATGGAATGTACGGTTTCAACTCCACCACGGGAGATTACGCTGACAAGGCGTTGATGTCACCGGAAAACCTGATCCTTCCATCGGATTACGATGCTTGGCTTTGCTCTTCGGGTCAGATTCCGATGTTTGGATCCGACGAGTTATTCACCGCCGCCTCCGCCATATCGGAAGCCGCTTCCATCACGCCTGAAGTTCGACGAGAGGAGGACATCTCATGCGTCATCAAAGCCAAAATCGTTTCCCACACTTCTTACCCTCGTTTGCTTCAAGCTTATATTGATTGCCAGAAGGTGAAAAAAAACAAAAAAAACACACAGTGAATTCAAAGCCGTTTATCTTTTCTATTTATGGTGCAAACAAAACCAGTGAAATGATGTGGCTTTTACAGAAGTTTTTAAAGACTGTTCATTTGCCCCCCTCCCCAACACACACTTATATAATTGTGTAGATGATATGTGCAGGAACACTTAAACATAAGATTTTTCCTTTAAAAAAATAAAAATAAAGGAGAAAGCTTTCGCTACAGTTGCTTTTGTTAGTTAATTGAATTTCAATTTCCGCCTTAAATGAGGGTTTACTTTGGCTTTCTCAAAGGTTGATGCCGAAAGTTTTACCATATACTTCGTGCCCTTTCGTTCCCAAGATCCAACTTTTTTTTCCTCCACTAATTCCCATGATTTTATGGGAAACATCTGACGGAATTCATGTGATACACATCAAGTGTTAGTTGAAATTTTCCTGACTAGTTGTTTATGTTTTTGTACTCTAGGTCGGAGCACCACCGGAGATAGCGAGTATATTAGATGAAATTCTGAGAGAGAACGATGTTAACAGGCGGGAAATCGTGCCAACCTGCTTGGGAGCCGATCCTGAGCTCGACGAGTTCATGGTCTCATCTTTCTTTTTCCACCACTTCCTTTGCTTTTTCTATTTTCATTATATACATGTAAATGTTTTGATGGTTGTCTTTCCTTTCTCCGTGTGTGTTTGATCAGGAAACTTACTGCGATATGTTAGTGAAATTCAAATCTGATCTCTCAAGGCCATTTGATGAAGCAACTACGTTTCTAAACAAGATTGAAATGCAGCTTCGAAATCTCTGCACCGGTGCTTCCGTTAGAGCTCCTTCTGGTAACTCCACCTCTCTCTCTCTTTCTATCTCTCTATCTTCCAAAAGTCTGAAACACATGAATTCCTTTATATTCTTTGTTTAATTTTTGGGTTCTTGGTTTCTGCGCTTTTCCAAAATCTGGCAGTATTTGCTCCACTGAATTTTTAACCCCAAAGCACCTAAACAAGCTAAAAAAATCAATCTGTATAAATTTTCCAACGAGATCATCTCTGAGACTAGCAGGCGAAACTCGAGAGTGTGTAGGTTTCCGGTGCATATGATAACAAGAGGCATGGAAACCCCACAAGAGAGCGACAACCATTCCTTTCCTAGTCATAAATCATAGATATCAGCCATCCTTTTCTGCAAAAGAACCCACTAATGGAGGTCACAACAGATTTTTCAAAAGAATAATTCCAAAGTTTCGAGTATGTCAGTAATAATACTAACCACTAACAAACAACGGAAAACCCTAGAGATGAAATAGACCCGTGTCTCTTGCCCTTGGTTTACTCTCCACCATTCCTTTCTTAAACCTTACCCTTCTTGTGTTTATAATCTGAACTTTTTTTCTTTTCTTTTCCAACAATGTTGTGGTGGCGATGACTTCATGTTTTTCTTCCATTTTGATATGTTTTGTCCAAAACGAATGATAACATGGATGATCCGGGCGCTTGCATTTGCTTGCTGATAGTCTTTTTGTTGTCATTTCTTTTCTTGTTTCTTCTTTTTTCCGTGTTATAGAGAAATGAAGCCTGAAATGTAAAACACCTTTTGTGTTTTTGAGAGATTCTGAAATGACGTTTCGGGGATTCAGTGTTGCCATGCGCAATAGTTGCTTGGCTTATTGGTCCGAACAAAATGATGTCTTATCAACAGTTTTTTTTTGCAATGCCATAGATGATGGAAATACCTACGTATAGAGTACAAAAGCCCTTTGCTTTGAGTTGATTGAACGTTTGGACTAAATGGTTTCTTTTCTTTTCTCTCCTGGTATATTGTCCGGATTAACCTTGTTTTTTCTGGTTCTCAAAGTAATCTGTTTTGGTCTGATTTAATATACGAGGATTTGGTCCAATGAGATTCTCTCCATTTACCTACTAATTATACAATTACATGTTCCTTTTGGTTGATAATTTGAGACCACGAGATTCACCAATAATGATCTAACCTTCTTGAAATTTGATCATAACAATCTAGTTAACCAAAAGTTCATATTTTCTTTAGTTTATTGACCAAATAAAAAAAGCTAATCTGTCTAAGCACACGAATTGATTATGAGGATCACTTAGTTGATGTATTCTATTATTTTTTGAAATCGTATACCTTACCATGGTCCTGGTGCTTGCTGTACCTTGACTGTTATCAATACAATCCTTTTAATTATAAGGTTACATGCAAGTCAATCAAATCCATAATGCTTGGAATTAAAAAGCTATGAGATCCTTACATGTATATAACTTTTTTTATTTGGATGTGTTGACTGTTGAGATTTCTATTTTCTGGTTAGTTTGTGTTCAATATAAAATTAACTGCGGAAGGGGCATCGGTGTTTCTTGGACTCATGATAGAGTGTGAATAAGAATATTTCATGTTTATTGACAAATTATAACATTTACTTTTAGGATTCTAATGTCATACCGTGTGGTCAGTCAAGCTGTCGAGAGTTGTTTTAGTAGTTGGTGTAATATAGACGAGCATTAATGTATAGGGTTCTATGATATTGTTAATCATGAATTTTTGTTAGGTTTGATTATAGATGTTTGAGTTTTGGGAAATAAACTAATTATTTTTTGGTTAAAAAGTTTATATTTATACCTGAATTTAAGAAGGATAAAGAAGAAAAATACTGATGAAAGCAACAAAGATCAAGTTAAAATTTTGTACACTGCATCAAGCAAGAAAGAGGTCTTTGATGTAGCAATGTTTTAGTAGTTTAACAATAGTAATCCGATAGCATATGCTTCATCTTATTACGTAGCTTTCAAAGTTATGAGGGTCATTGCATGTGCCTTTGATTATCATATTCGTATTGCACACGTATGGTTGAGTAATAGCATTGAATAAAGCTTATAATTCATATTCCGTGTATTATATTGCATGTCCACTTCTTTAAAAATAAGGTGTTTTGCCTTAGTTTAGTGGAATGATAATGGTTTTCATGATGTCCAGTCTGGTCTTTTGAATTAGTATCAAGTTCCAATATGCATATGGATAGTGGAAAGTGTAGAACTCGAGGAATTGTCTACTTTGAGACTGGCTGGAATGTTGCTAAAGTAACATATATTTATTCGGCATCTATATCTTCTCGAAAGTTGTTTTGGATAGCCGAGTTCTGAAAATATGTAAATTTAATATAGTTCATTTTTTATGCTTGAAAATTGTCGGTCAACCATTGATTTGCATAAGATTTTTCTGAGATCATGTGAGTGTAGATCATACTGACTTTACAAAAAGGACTAGAGCTGAGGTTATGACTTGCAACCATCTTTTGTTTCTTCCAAATCTATTATTTTACTGTATTTTGGGGTTGCTTTTTTGTCATTATGGCTGGAAACTGGATATGCTTGAACAAAAATTTAGTTATTGATATTGCTTTAATAAATGCTTTATTTATTGAGTTGGGCTTAGAAATCTTAGGAATCCATCGTGAAAAAAGCTGTCGATGTTTTCATTTGCATGGGGGGCGAGTGGTGGCTTGTGCAATCGGTGTGTGTGTAGCAGCCTTGGATATTATATACATACTTTGGAAGAGGGATGACATTGTCTACTAAATTATATATTTGTTAAAGAATTGAAGTTTAAAAGGTTTTTAAATCGCTGCATTCTCAGGTTGTGGATTGTTGACAACTATAATTGTGTCAACGTACAATTTACCTTTTTGATGATGCTATCATCCTCTTTAATCACTTCATTTACTTTTTTCTCTACTTTGGCTTTGTGGTTTGGGCTTGCTACTTCGCCAGAACTGTATTAACTTACCCATTCTTTGGTCGAACAAGAAAAAAAATTATAAAGAACTAAGATTCGTTACACATGTATCCATTGTAGTGTTGTCTTGAATAGGGATTGATTTGAGGGTTTTATTCTAATAAATCCACATGCTTTGTTTGTGTCTACATGAATATCTGCCATTGCTGCTGCCTTGCTGTAGGATATGCTATCTGCCTAAGTCAAATTATATGTTTGTAACATTTTCGATATTCATTTACAACTTTTATCCAAATTAAAAGAATGATCTTCCAAATGATCACACACGCATATTCCTGCAATAAACTGAAATATGGTAGATTTAGCATTTGTTGTTCCTTTTTCTTGTGAAATTCTTGCTCTACATCTTGTGAAGTGCTTGTGGTTCAAACTTTAGACATCATTCTGAATAGACAAATGCATAAATTTTTTAGCATTCTGCTTTAAAGATTTTAATACTTTGAAAATAATAGCAAATAACTTAAAAAAAATGTTGGTTTGAACCAATCCAAATAGATTGATACTCTTCTAAAAAAAACTGGTAAAATGTCCATTTATGTATTTGTGTTCATAATTTTTCTAATATACCTACCTAAGAAAATAAGGGATTGGAAGGAAGACTACAATGAAAAAGCTTTCTTTCTATTAAGTGAATCAAGCTAATATCTTTTTTGCAATATAATCCTTTTGAAGTGTTTATGTTAGAATTTCAGCCATTACAGTGTTTATTCAATATCTTTATAAACTAGGTTTATTCTTCAGACTTGGTTTTCAACATGCTGTTATAGTTCATCAGTGTCGCTCTATGTTGAAATATGGTATATGATATATGATAATATTTCCGTTTCTATCGTATTGTTTCCAGTTAATTTCACTCCATGAATGCAATGCTATATGATAATATGTTTCCAGTTTCATCATATTCAATATCTTTGATCTTGTTTATATTCCCTGATTAAATCAAGTGACTCATGCACACAAATGCAAGTTGATTCATCTGAAAGAGTGATGAAAGTAGATGGACACCATAATGGAGCTTCTTTCCATGGTTATACAAATATATGTTTTATTTATTATAGGAATAGTAAGTTGAGATTAGCAAAGCACATGGTTGATAGTTACAAGAAATATTATTGTCTGTGGTTCAAATGTTGAATGTCCAATGGCTATTAGATCCTGAAGGTATAGTTGTCTGTGCTTCGTCGGGGGAATCCTGAAAGTACATAATGGTTAGTTCATCTGCATCTGATATAAGGGGTCCAATCGAAATCAGATTTACTTTGAAAAAAGAAAAACAATTTGGTTATGGGAAAAAGCCATGGATTTGATTCTAGTGGTCGGAGTTTTCACATGGACCCCCGTAGATTTCGCTGAGAAACCATCAGACTTTTTGAAAAAAGATGATTCATTCAATTGTTTGAATGCTCTCTTATCTCAATGCTGGCTCTGGTTTGGTGCTTGTCATATCCAATGACCATTGTGTTTCCATGGTGGGTCTCTCTCTCTTTGCATTCATTAACGTGCAACGCACGTGTCTGCATGATGTTGTGAGGCCCCATTTTTTCCCCTTCTTTCGTTAGACATTTTCCTCTTACCCCACACCTCTTCCATGCTTCTTCTCTCACATCTTGTGGTACTGCTCTCCATTTTAACACCTTAACAATCTATCAAATGAGAATATACCCAATCATTACTCTCAAAAGGGTGTTTAAAATGTATCCTTTTTTAAAAAATGGTGAAAAAAAAATGAGGCCTTCAACAATGGTGTCTGATATGGGGAGACCTTCAATAATGGGGGGACCGTAGCTTTCGGGGGGGTTTCTTTAACCTTCTGAAAAAAAGGGGGTTTATTTGTTTTCCTTGTTCCCATCTCTTTCTATCTCCTTGACTTTCCTGCAAATGTATTATTTGATATGATGCCGTACTGTCATGTCCAATAGGACTCCTAGTGTCACTGACAATGGACATAACCAGACATCTTTTCTTTGCCCAAATCGTCACGTCTTTGCGCTTTGGGTCACCATGTTTGCTTACTGTGCACTCTCTGTAAATCCTGCAGTTGCTCAGTCTGCGCTTTAAAACTCTTTTAACTATATGATCGTCGCATAACTTTATATAAAATCTATCACATATATTTATGTCAATTTTATTATTTTTTTTATAAGTAAGCCGTATAACTATGAGCCATAACTTAAGCTGGTGCTTGCTTAGCTTCCTTCACTTTCAGCCACATAAATTGCAGAAAATGCACTTTGTTGTAGAAAATAAAATAATTTTTTTGAAAGATTGTGTTCCTTGGCCCATGGAATCATATTCCTCGCTTGGAATGAAAATTTTTATTTGGAATTTGTGTGATAGTGGAGTTTTGGTAGGGGATGCCAAATCTTGTTATGGAAATGTAATCTTTCCATACATACACATATATATGTTTTGGCAATTGGACTGATTAATGTTTATTCTTAAATTTTGATTCTTGAAACAAAAGGTTTGGACTTTTATGTGTGTGTGATTTCTTTTTTATTGGCAGATGAAGGTGGGGTATCATCGGATGAAGATGGTAGTGGTGGGGAAGTAGAAGTACCAGAAGGGCAGTCGAGAAGCGAAGACGGAGGACTGAAAGATAGGCTGCTTCGGAGGTTCGGCAGTCACATTAGCAGCTTGAAGTTGGAGTTCTCGAAGAAGAAGAAGAAAGGGAAGCTGCCGAGGGAAGCACGAAAAATGCTGCTCGAATGGTGGAACGTTCACTACAAATGGCCATATCCAACGGTAATTTCTTCCACGTTCCGTCATGCGATATGAGTACATATGATGTTTCAATTCATAAACCATAGCCGTAACGAATGCCTTATCGAATGGACGCTGTTAGCATGGTTTAGGGTGGTTATGATATAACATTTTGGCCGGTGAAATCATTCAGGAAGCTGATAAGATAGCATTGGCTGAATCTACCGGACTCGACCAGAAGCAAATCAATAACTGGTTTATAAACCAAAGAAAGCGGCACTGGAAGCCGTCAGAGAGCATGCAATATGCGGTGATGGATAACCTGTCGGGACAATTCTTTACCGACGACTGAGGTGAACCGGCGAATGGCATTCACAAGTCAAATGTATATACCAAGATCGGTAATTAGCTTTGTTATGCATATGCCTTGAATGCAAAATGTATCGTGGACTTCACTCAGAATTTCATTCCCCCCCTAAATACTGACTATTTGGATTATCTATCTGTGTTTATCTTCTCTATTAAAAATAATGCTCAAATTTGGGAAATCATCCGTTTTTATTAACTTTTTTATATAAACATAAGCGTCAAAGTGATTATTATATTAAGTAATTTTTTAAAAAATGAATTGTGCAAAATTAAAATGTTCATAAAAAAAACAATAAGGGTAATATTATATTAAGGAGATATTTTTATCTAAAAATAAAATGTTAGAGATCGAAATATCTAATAAAAAATATAAATCAAATTAACCATTTTGATAAATATTACTAATTTTGAACGTTATGCCAAGCATTAAATTAAACAATTGAAATTTTCTATTTAAAAATTATATAAAAATCATCAATTTATTTATGATTAATTTAAGAGATTTGTATGCATACCCGATATCTTTGAGGAAATCAGCGGTCTGGGTAGAGCATTTTGAGTATAAGGTGCAGTTTCAATTGGGGTGTTTAAAGAGTTAAACAGTTTGTGATCCTCAAATTTAACTTAGTCAAAATCAATAAAAACTCGACTCGAGATAACTCAAATTCGAGCTTGACTCAAGACCTTAACAAGTTCGCGAGCAACTCGTTAATTTTTTTATATAATTTTTCAGTAGTTATATTAAAAATATTTCATTAAAAATATAATTTACTAATAGATAATAGAAAATATGATAAATTACTCATCTATTAATTTTCTAATAAACAATAAAAAAATACTAAATTATTAATTATATTTTACTACACAAAAAATCAAACCATATTTATTATTTTAATGTATTTGTGGATTGGTACTTTAGAGTTTAGACTTTGAAATGTTTTATAAGCTCTTTTAATAATTTTTTTGTTAAATTTATTAATTTATGTTTATATTAAGCTCTATATAGTATCAGTAGATTTTACCTATAATTAAGAAAATAAGGTAAAAATTTCGGTGAGCTTAACTAGCATCGAGTTTAACGAGCAATGAGTCGAGCAACAAGTTTTTTTAACGAGCACGAGTCGAGCAAAAATTTAACGAGCTTAACAAGCAACGAGTCGAGTCGAGCAACAAAATTTTTTAACGAGCACGAGTCGAGCACTGTCCAACTCGCGATCGACTCGATCGATAAGCACCCCTAGTTTCGACTACCACGGTTGTTGAATTAAAAATTTTAATTTATTCAATAAAAATTTTAATTTTGAATTTTAAACGTTCAAATTAAAAATTATAAGATATTAAAATTAATTTTAATTAATATTTAAATAAATAAATTATAATAAATTAACTTTATATCATTAAATATTTTATATTGTTCAATTTTAAATTAAAATTATTATATTTTTAAAAATATCATTAATTTTAAATAAATAAATTATAATAAATTATTATATTTTTATATCATATATTGTTCAATATCAAATTTTAATTAATATTTAAATTAATTAATTATAATAAATTAACTTTATGTCATTAATAAATTAAATTTATTTCAATTTTTAGTTTTTCAAATTATATAATATTTTATTAATTTAATATTTTATTTTACACTCATTTAAATAATAATAATAATATAAATTTATTAAATTAATTCTTTAATCTATCAATTATTTAAAAATATTATTATTAATCTATTTCTCAATAAGTGAATTTATTAGAGATAATTCCAAATTCATATAGATTATCAATTAATGTATATTGTCTTTTATATTATAAACAATTTATAATTAGTTAAATGTAATCAAGGAACTGATAGTCACGCTTATCCTAACATGGATTATTTATTAGATATAATTCAATAAAATACAAATTCATATAGATTATCAATTAATATATTGTTTTTATATCATAAACAATCTTATAATGTAATTTATAGTTAGTTGAATGTAATCCATGAACTGATAGGGATAAACGACCAGATCCATGGGATAGCCCTTCCTGTTAAATATAATAGTAATGAAGGGGATAAAGCTTACTGGGGGTTAGCGAAAAATGGTAGGTGTTCTGTAAGTTCCATGGCTAGAGCTATCATGGAAATGGAAATGGAAGGACAACCGAGTATCAACCAGAAGTTGGTTTGGAAGGTGGAAGCGACAGAACGGGTCGGTATTCACATGGTTGTGCATGTTAAATAGGCTCAACGCAAATGAAATGCGCGTGCGAAAGAAAATGTCCCAAGAATCTAAATGCATGTTCTGTCAAGAACCGGTGGAAACTATTGACCATATACTTAGGCGATGCGGAGCGGTTGGGTTAATGAGGGACGCCGATGGAGACTGGATACGGGGTCTCATGCAGACGATATAGGAAGGGTAAACAGTACTGCGGCAGAAATTTGGGGTGTTAGGCAGGGATTAATGGTAGCAAAAGACATAGGAGCAACGAATCTAATTGTGGAAATGGATGCGAAGTGGGTCGTGGAGGCTCTAAACGATCATACATTGGAGGAGGAATCTGTTCATGTTCTTCTAGACGATTGCCGGAAACTACTGAGGGAAGGATGGGTTAGCGAAGTTAGACACATTTTGCGGGAAGGAAACAAGTGCGCTGATAGGTTGGCCAATCTTGCTCTGGACCGAACCGAAGATATGACAATTCTGGAAAATCCCCCTAGGGAGCTTGGTAATCTACTGGAGGCTATCAAGGAACAGATAGTTACGCTTACTTGTTATTTTAAACGACATATTAACTATGATTATTTTAGTTAATATTAGTTACGGTTGAACCCAAAAATTTCAATTCACCCTTACTTTTAGCTGCTGCTTTTCAATCCTTTCTACAATCTTGGTAATTTTAGGGTACCCCAGAGCAAGCTGAATCTCCAGTGGTGGCGCGTGGCCCTGTAGTTGGGCAAACAAATAACCCTCAACAGCCTGCTCAAGCAGCAGCTGTTCCTGCGAGGGACCCATTGCAAATCCATTAGACCTTCCCCCAAGCATGTGTTGGAAGCGTAGATGACTCTCGGTAATTTATAATTTGAACTTTTTATAGATACAAAACAAAATATTTTACAATGACACTACCTCAATGTTACAATACTGCAATACTAGCTGCGGCTAGTTTACAAACTCAACCTCACTATTTTAAGCTTTGCTAAGCTCTCTCTCAATTTTCTCTAATTTTTTTCTCGTTATTCACGCTCACTACTCACTCGTTACTCACTCTTTTCCTCATATCTCACTTGTGTTTTTCATATGGCTTACATACAGATATATAGTTGTAATAATCCGACATTGATTGAAGACTTTAGAAACTTCTCAATTTTGCTTGATGTGTTGTTTCATGTTTGCTGCAAACTTATCCTTTTATGGGACCACCTTAATAACTAAGTAATTCAAGATGCTTCTAGCTTTTGCCATCTTAAATCTTGCCGACATATTGTTGCAACTTCTAGCCACTTTTCTTGACTTTTCTACATAATTCCAAGAGTTTGAATTCCAACACTCCCCCTCAAACTCGACTTTCCATTCCTAGCTTTTCTTTGAGTCGATTGAATATATCTGCTCTCAATGGTTTTGTAAAAATGTCTGCTATTTGATCTTCAGTTTTGCAGTAAATTAGCTCCACATTTTTGTTCTTCACCTGCTCTCGTATAAAATGATACTTTGTATCAATATGCTTGCTTCGGCTATGGGAGACTGGATTCTTTGCAAGGGAAATTGTAGACTTGTTGTCGACATAGATTGTAATTGGTTCTTCTTGTGCCACATTTAGCTCGTTCAAAATATTCTTTAACCACATTGCTTGGCAAGTGCACGCTGCTGCGGCTATGTATTCTGCTTCACATGTTGAAAGAGCTACCGTTTTTTGCTTCTTTGATGACCATGAAAATGCTGCAGAGCCGATATGAAAGAGATATCCAGTTGTGCTTTTTCGATCGTCTAAGTCTCCCCCATAATCACTATCAGAACCAACCAGCTTTGAATTTTCTGATCCCATGTAGAATAAGCCATGACCTGTTGTACCTTTGACATATCTGAGGATTCTTTTTGCTGCAATCCAATGATCTTGTTTTAGATTCTCCATGAATTTGCTTACCAATCCCACAGCGTATGTTATGTCTGGTCGTGTGATAGTCAGATACCTTAGACTTCCAACGATGCTTTTAAACAACGTCGGATTCACTTGCTCTCTTGTTGAATTCACACTTAATTTGACTCCTGGTTCTGCTGGAGTGGCTACCGGCTTGCAATCTTCATTCTAAATTTTCTTAAAATTTCTTCTGTATACTTCTTTTTTGATATAAATATTCCTTCTTGCATTTGCTTCACTTCAACTCCAAGGAAGTATGACATTTCTCCAATATCTGTCATTTCAAATTCTTTAGTCATAGCTTTCTTAAAATCATTGAACATACCTGAATTATTTCCTGTGAAAATCATGTCGTCAACATATAAGCACACGATCATGATATCACCATCTTCATTTTTCTTTGTGTGTAAGGCATGCTCGTATGGACTCTTCATGAACCCATTTCTCTAGAAATATTCATCAATCCTCGTGTTCCATGCTCTTGGGGCTTGCTTCAGACCATATAGAGCTTTCTTCAATCGGTAAACTTTGTTTTCATGTCCCTTTTTAATGTATTCAGGTGGTTGCTCAATATAAACTTCTTCTTCTAGGTAGCCATTTAGAAATGCAAACTTCACATCCATCTGGTAAATTTTCCATCCTTTTTGTGCTGCAACTGCTGTGAGAAGTCTGATGGTCTCGATCCTTGCTACTGGAGCAAATACTTCATCATAGTCTATTCCTTGTCTTTGCTTATAGCCTTTGACAACTAGCCTCGCTTTGTGCTTCTCGACCTTTCCTTCTTTATTGGTCTTTGTCTTGTAAACCCATTTTAATCCAATTGGGTTATGGCCTTCTGGTTGTCTTGTTAGCTCCCATGTATCATTTTTTTCTATTGATGTAATTTCTTCATCCATTGCATTCCTCCATTTGTCATCTTCAATTGTTTCTTCGTATGTTATTGGATCACTGTTCACAAGCAAGCA